TTAACTTATACTAATTAATATATTTTAAAAATAAACTAAAATAATAATAAGACAAAAAACAATAATAACTAAAAGACAAGAAAACACTAAAAACAAAAAAGAACATAATAATTTAAGTAGTATTAGGGGTGCCAATAGCAATTGATAGGGTGCTATTAGCCTCCCTCTTAATTTATTTAAGGGGAGTGCTAATGGCACCCCCTTTGATGTCAGAATCATGTCATTCAAGCATTGAGAATGTAAAAATCATGTATTAATGGTGATGTGTGTGAGGAAGAAATTCATGGATAGGAGTGCATTAAGCAATGCATAAAAATGCATTTAGCCCACCCCTTATTTAAAAACTAATCTGACACCGCATAAAAGAGTATTTTGTTTATTTTGGCCCCTTAATATTTTTATTTTATTTATACATACTTAATTTTTGTTAATGTACATTTAGCCCTTTTAACTTTTTTATTTTATTTATACATATTTAATTTCTTATAATATATATTTTAGCCTCTTAACTTTTCTTTTTTATTTATACACACTTAATTTTTTATAATGTACATCTTGGCCCCTTAACTTTTCTATTTTATTTACACACACTTAACTTCTTGTAATGTACATATTGGCCCTTTAACTTTTCTATTTTACTTATACACACTTAACTTCTTGTAATGTATATTTTGGCTCCTTAACTTTTCTATTTTACTTATACACATTTAACTTCTTGTAATGTACATTTTGGCCCCTAACTTTTCTATTTTACTTATACACATTTAACTTCTTATAATGTATATTTTGGTCCCTTAACTTTTCTATTTTACTTATACACACTTAACTTCTTGTAATGTACATTTTGGNTTTCTATTTTACTTATACACACTTAACTTCTTGTAATGTACATTTTGGTCCCTTAACTTTTCTATTTTACTTATACACACTTAACTTCTTGTAATATACATTTTGGCCCCTTAATTTTTCTATTTTACTTATACACACTTAACTTCTGTTAATGTACACTTTGACCCCTTAACTTTTCTATTTTAGTTATACACGCTTAACTTCTTGTAATATACATTTTGACCCCTTAACTTTTCTATTTTACTTATACACACTTAACTTCTGTTAATGTATATTTTGGCCCCTTAACTTTTTTATTTTATTTATACACACTTAACTTCTTGTAATGTACATATTGGCCCCTTAAATTTTCTATTTTACTTATACACACTTAACTTCTTGTAATCTACATTTTGGCCCCTTAACTTTTCTATTTTACTTATACACACTTAACTTCTGTTAATGTACATTTAGCCCCCCTTAACTTTTCCATTTTACTTATACATACTTAACTTCTGTTAATGTACATGTAGCCCCCTTAACTTTTCTATTTTACTTATACACACTTAACTTCTTGTAATGTACATTTCGCCCCTCAACTCTTGTTCAATCTCTATTTGCATCCCTTACGTGTTTTTAACACAAGGAATAGAAACATTTGTGTTTTCTTCCTGAGCTATCGTAAGACCATGAGTAATGGATATAACATCATCGGGTTAATTAGTTATTGTATATATTTTTCTTGACAGTTAATTAGTCAAGTAACACTATTAACGAATGCTAAGAGCATCTCCAACTGCTATTATATTCATGAAAAATTTGCTCTAAAAATTATGTTTAAACTATTCTTTAAAATATAAAAAAATGGAAAAATCTCGAAATTAAAAAAGAAGAAAATACATAGTATATTTATTAGAGATGCTCTAAATAGTCGGATAAGGGTACTCGCGCAATGCAGCGAGATAAATCTTCATTTTAAATTTTAATGTTTAATTTTTATTATTTGTCTCTATCGATGTAATATATAATTTTATGTGGTTTTGAGAAAGCGATAATATTTTTATTCTTGAATGAAATATAAATTTGAAAATAGCATACAAAAATTTAAAATAAAATCGATATTAATATTAAATTAACTATTTAATAGTTTTCGTTTTTTTGGTGTAACTTCTTTAATTCAATTTTTTATTATAATTTAATTTAGATATAATAACAAAGTAATTTATTTTTGGTTTAATAATGTCATTTTTATTAAAGATAATAATTAAACATTCGGTTAGAAACTTGATAATTATCCTAATTATATTTTAGATTTTTTATATTTTAAAATCAGATGTTTATCCTCTATTTGATTATGTTTATCCGTAGTTAGTTACACGAATTTAAACATTGAACTTTAATAAGTTGTACTTAATGCATAATTTACTTGTAATGTTGAATTTTAAGTAATATGTATCAATAGACAGTACTTTATGCATAAAAAATGTTTTTTAAGAGTTTTTGTCAAATGCTTTATAATATAGTATAGATATGAAAGACTGTATTTTTTGGTCATTTTACATATATAAGCAAAATTTGCCAAACACTAAAAAACAACTTATCAGCTTATTGCTTTTTGGTACCGCTATAAGTTAATCCAAACATTTTTTACAAAACTCTAGTTTGATACCACACAAGTTAATAAGCACTTTTACAATAAAAGCATAAGTTGTTTTAAATAAGCAATCACAAACACCTCCTAAGTTATTTATTCAAACACTTAAAATACTTATTATCAATGTCGCACTGGAATAAGTCAATAAGTTGTTTTTATAAGCAATCTCAAACATTCTACTTAGGACTTGGGCAAGCATGAATTTGATGTTCGTCGGCTAAATTCTAGGTCAGCATCTAGATTAGATCTAGACGAGATCTGTATTTTGGTAAACATAGGGGCTGTTGACCTCAGTTAGCAAGCAGGGACTCTAAAATGTAAATTATAATGCTGTAAACATGAGAGAATGTTCCAAATGTCATGATATTTGTGCAATTAATGCAATCCAATCAATTGAGATATTTATGAAAATGATGAGAGTTCATTTATTATTATTTGAATTAGGGGTGAGCAGTGGAACCGGGTACCCGGTTACGGAACCAGAACCACCTTGGAACCGCCGGTTCCGGAACCGAAACCGATATGAGTGGTTCCGGTTCCTAAAATACGGAACCGATTGAGAACGATTCCGGTTCCGGTTCTCAATTTTTTGGAACCGTTACCCGCCGGGTACCCGGTATTTTTCAATAAAAAATAATAATTATTTTTTAATACCAAATTTATATTAGGTTTACATCTTGAAAGCATACCGTCATCTTCATTCTTCATCTAAATTCTTCATATAAAATGATTCGTATTTTTCAAATTGTGTGTTTACTTGGATTCATAGTATGTAATCGTTAAACTTTGAACATTTATCATTATAGTATGTAATCATTAAACTTTGAACATTTTCTATTAGTCTATTATGGTTTGTAATCGTTAAACAATATTTGTAACCATTATTCTGTATAATTTGTATTCTTACTTATTTATTTAGTGTTTTGGCAATGTTTTATTTTTTATTTTTAAATAACAAAATTTTAATATTTTAGGAAGCGGGTACCCGGAACCGGTTCCCGGCGGTTCCGGTTCCGGTTCCAATATCTCAAGAACCGCCGGTTCCGGTTCCGGTTCCTGTCAAAAAGGGTGGGTACCCGCCTATGCTCACCCCTAATTTGAATATATATGGAAAATGACTACAGTTCATTAATTATGTTCAATACTTTATATTAGGAAACAATCAAAACTTTTATAAAATCACATATTCATCAGATTAAATGAACGGTTAAGATTGAATTGTATTTATTGTACAAATGTAAAGGATTGATGGTTTTTTATACACCCCTAGTTTTTAACCGACTTCTACCGTTTCAAGAAAAAAAATTAAGCTTTTTGGTTAATTTCAATGAATTTTTTTTCATCTCTTTGTTAATTTCCAGGGAATTTTTCGGTTTTTGTTTATCTTTTTGTTCTTTGCATTTTCTAACATCCTCGAGCACCCTTTAAAGCTTAGCATGTGCAACTTTCATACAAAAAAATTACTTGTAAAAAACTCAGTAGAGCGAGTACACAGGACCCCACTGGGGCATTTACAGATCCGCCGGTAACTTCTTTTACTTGATAAACACTTACCCCATTTTTGCTATGCGCACTCTGTAATCAATGATAAACGACTACAACACATATTTTCATCATAAAATTGCGTGATCAAATTTAGCAACCACTACATAAAATAAACATATTTCATCTTCAATCATTACGAAATGATTTAAGTAAATTTGTTAACATAAAACACAAATTATTAGAAAACTAATCCCAAATCCCAGTTGTAAAATGATTCAAATTACACTCAAAAAGCAATGCCATTTCGCATTGCCCAATACATTTCCTTTTGGTGCAGCAATCCACAAATACAAATTAGTTCAAAACTTGCAACCAAAACATTTTGCCAAAACTGGATTGCATACAGATACTTGTACAGATGCAATATATGCAAGTCTCTCTACATATATATATATATATATATATATATATATATATATATATATAGTCTCTGTTAGTCTTCAACCAGGTTCTTAGTTATGAACTTATAACCCCTGAGACCCAAGGAACGACCAAAGGCGCATTCGGGTGATTTCTTCTGTAATTTTCTGAATATCTATCCTTAAAGTTCACTTCCGGCTTCTCTGCCTGCAAAAATTTTGTTCACTCATAAAACAAATAGTCGACGTCTATATTTCAGAAAGTGCAAATATTGTACTACTCGGATTATATTTTGCAACTAGGGGAAGGTCCCATTAGGAACCTCATTGTCAAAAAGAACCGGGGGGGCCCACATCATGACACATGGCATATTCATCGTGAATGTGTGATTCATTACTAATAACACGTCCATATTCATCATGAATGTGTTGTTTTTGATGAATATTCATCCTAACGAGGGGGACATGTGGCATGCAAAAAACAAGTTCTCAATCGAACTTTCCTCTTTGCAACTAATTCCTTTTGGGGGAACTTTTCATGTTATCAGGACATTTGCCCTTGGTCATCAAGTTATTACTTTTTTTTATTAACCTGGATATCCAACCCGCTATTGAGCCGACTAATCCCAGGACGACCACCTGCTTTGCAGATAGCCCGGAGTCACCGCATTTGAACCTCCATGGCCGCAAGGGGATTTTTATTCCTCCTTGGATTTGAACCTGGTACCTCCAGGTACTTTCGACCTTTGGAGCCAAGCTCAAACCAATCAGGCAGCACCCTTGTGGTTTAGTTATCCATCTTTTCAACATAAACAAAATAACTTGCTTCAATTTTGTAGTCAAAGAAATCATTTGAAGTATTTTAGATATTTGACAAATCTTTGAACAATTTCTTTAGAAACTATGCATCAAGTCAGGCATGTTGCAGTTTCCAATGAACAAAGAGTAACAAGAGATGATCAACTTACATATTTCAGCCAGCATTCTTCAAGTTTGTGTTGGTATATATCTGGGGAATGGCATCCCCCTTCAGCAGGGCAATAAACCCATATATTACATTTCATTTCATTCGATCTCGCGTTTCTAGCTTGATTTAAACAGGCTTGACAACATTCGTACGCACTTTCTTTACGATGGGTGAGTCCCCATTTGACAGCACGACCACCGTAATCTGTATGAAGCTCGGCGTTACACTCAGGAGGTAGACGCCTCCCCGCTAGGATCATATCATCTGGTTATTCCAGCCGATGGTCAGATAATTCCCCAGAAAAAAAAGACAGAGAAATAAGAAAATATCTCGTTACCAAACTCATCTTCACCCTCAGGTTTGTCATTATGTTCTTTGTTGATAACATTGACTGGTATCCATAGACCAATTTCATGTAATAACTCGGCCCAATCAAACTCTAAGGCTCTTGCAAGCATTCCTACAAACATATCCCATTATCATGTTTGGCTTTGAGTCAAATGGCTTAAAACCAAAAAAGTTTGGAGATGATAAACTAAAAGATTGCAAGACCTGCTTCCGCCAGTAGGATGGTTGAATTCGAGGTCTTCTCGCGAGTGATTCTTTTGGCTTCCTCTAGTTTTTCCATCCGCCAACTTTCAACCGCTTCTGTGAATCAAGAATGTACCAATTAAGATGTTTTGATGTTAACATAATGTCTAAAATACCAATCAATGATAAATAAAAAAAATGGGGAATCATGTGGACCAAATTAATATCATCAATTCTACATAATAATGAGAGTTGCAACATAATCACACACTCATTCCTGAGAATTGCAACATAATCACAAACGGCAATACAACATACAACTCTCAATCATAGATGGAGTTTTGAGGCTCGTTCAATTGTTCACCAAATAAGGCTATCAAGAGTCTTTCTTGGCTAAGAATTCCCCCATGCCTACTCCAAATGCTTCGCATGTCATTTTAAAGACCTATAAGAGAAATTCAAAAGAGCCAAAAGCAAAGCTTACGAAAGATTTTCATTAGACATCCAAAAAGTCCTTAGTGGCACCTTTGACATTATACACTTCCCTTTTTCGAACTACCGGTGACAGGAATCATGATGATGCTAAAATCATGTGACTAATATCCAATAAGAGGTAGAAATCCCATTAAAGCTTGTGCTTTGTGAAGTTTAGAAGGTGTGGGCCACTCCCTAAAGGCTATTTCTATGGTCTATTGGGACACCATTACCTCAGGACCAAAAAATCCAAGGAATGTGATCAGAGCTTGTGGTTCTTCAAGTTTGCATAAAGTTTCTCATGACGTTGAACATCTAACACTTAATCTAAGTGACGAAAAGTTCCTCTCTAGTGTTACTATAGATAGGAATATCAGCGACGTAAACTAAGACAAATGACCAATAAAAGGACTCAACACTTACTTGTAAACCTCATAAAGGCACTGTAGCCAGGCCAAACAGCATGCTTGGCGTTCATAAAGACCAACTAGAGTTTCAAAGGTTGTCTTGCACTCATTCCCTCCCTCAAATTCGAATAGGATGGTATCCACTTATCATGTCTATTTTATTGAAAAGCTTAGCATGTGTCATATCTAAAATTTTGACAAACCTAGCTGGCTAGCTCTAGGCGATCTATACTTGGTGGTATTTTTGTCAATCGGCCTACTACAAACACATTCTTAACTCGCTTCATCTTTTGGGATAAGCAATGCTGAAACTCCACAAGGACAAAGAACCTCACTGATAAAGCCTTTAGATAGTAATTCCTTGATTTGGCGATGCATCTCCCAAGTGCTCTTTTGTGTTTATATGCAACATGTTGTATGTCCCCTTTCCTTGGAAACTCGGCTAGCATAACATTTGTGAATTCTGTTAGGACCTAATTAACATCATTGTGTGTCTATACATTTGCTTCTCTCATTACTACAACGTAGAAAATCTTATCTTCCTTTAGGCTTCTTCGGGACCTTTCTCCTAAGGATGTGTAAGGGCTAAGATTGCTTTGTGTAGCTCAACTCTCTATGTTGCGCCTTTTGGATTATCTTTTAGACTTAGAAGGATTCAAGAGAACCTTCTCTCCGTTTGTTTAAACACATTAAGTATTGACTTCTCATAGTGGCTCGCATCAAGATCATCTAATTAAGGACAACCAAGCAATATATGAGCAACATCCATAGTGGCCAAATTGGATAGGAACCTTACAGTAGGTGTTATGGACATGGATATATTACCATCCTAGGCTTGTGGGCGGGATTTTGGTTTCAGGTTTAGCTTGGAGATGGCTAAAGTCTCTACTACGTTTAAGCAACTCCTTCCATCAATTATAACTACTGTAAACGTTTTACCAATCTCAATGTAAATAAGAAATATAAAGGTCCATCTCCAATCTCCATCACCCTTTAGAGCCCGTGTTGCTAGAATACATCTCATTGACATCAAATTGTACTTTAGAATTCTCAAAGGATTTCCCTGCACTGATTAAATCTTTACCAAGGCTATAGCTCCCTCTAAGAAATTTGGTTCTTCTTCCTCTTATCTCTTTGCTCAATCTCAAGTTGCCCATTACCCCCTCTTGGCAATGACAATCCCATTCTCATTTGGGCACTCAAAATCCTGTAATCTACACCTTGACATTTGCGGCATTGATCATATATGTTCACTCATGTCAATGCTTGTGTGGTCTTTCCTTGAGTAATGACATCACCTTTGAGTAAGGTAACCTAGGATATACTAGAGGGGTTGGTCATGGAGATGGTTTTCCAATGACCTTGGAGGAATACTCGTGCTCACAACCTTGTTGATAGGCATCCTCTAGACTTGTAAGAGGCTAAGAGCATAAGGGGGGGTCTTAGTTCCCGAAACCTAATCACCATAAGGTTTATCCAAGGAAGAATAAAAATCCCCTTGAGTTGATGCTTTGTTATGGCGCGGCACTTGGAGAGCAAAGAATCACTGAGCGAGTAACCAAGAAGTGGTTTCCAGTTGAGCATCGCTAGGTAAGTATAGCTCATTCAAGTCTTATGGCTCGAGAGAAATGTAAGCGAGACAAAAGAAACAATATTTTTCTAAATTTTGGAGTAAAATCCTCAAAGGTTACTTTTACGAACTCTGAAAAAGCTAACATGACAAGAAAGGTTACTTTTTTTAATTAACCTGGAAATCTAACCAGCTATGCGAGCCGTCTAATCCCAGGGCGACCACCCGCTTCGCGGGCAGCCCGAAGTCACCGCATTTGAACCTCCGTGGCCACAAGGGGATTTTCATTCCTCCTTGGATTCGAACCTGGGACCTCCAGGCACTTTTGACCTTTGGAGCCCAAGCTCAAACCAATTGGGCACCACCTTTGTGGTTAAGAAAGGTTACTTTTACGAACTTTGAAAATGCTAACATGACAAAGGCAATGGAAGCTTAAACATATATGCATTTCCCAAACTAAGGGTCTGTATGTTAACAGCTTAACGAGCTTAATCGGACTCATAGCGTATTCGGTCAGCTATACATGATTGTTTGGTAGTGGCTTAATGATATAGAAAGTGGCTTATTCAGTAAGCTTCTAGGCGGAAGCTTTATGTAGAAAGCCACGTTTTTTCTAAACCTGCCCTCCCAATTAAAGGACACGCTCCATCCATCTACGAAAAAACTCTTCCAAACAAAAAACCTTCCCAATTTATATAGATAGATTAATCCACATAGACAACTTTATCCCTGGAGAAATTAATGAAAACCAAACAAACAGCCCCTAAGTCATACCACACCTTTCTATGGCTCTTTTCATGTTCCATAGAAAAAATGATTCCAGAATGACTAAAGAGATCTTGCCAACAGACTAAGACTGTGTTTGGTATGCAATCAAACAAGATTGGAGCAGTACGAAACATTCACGTCCCTTGCAAATAGGAATAGAATAAAAGTTTATAAGAAGATAATTGGTCACACCCTCCAATAATCTCAACCCAACTCAACCCATTCAAAAGTATAACCCAACCCTTGCAGGTTGAGGCGGGTTGGGTTGGGTTGGCGGGTTAGTAGTTACATAAATTTGACGAATGAAATAATTCATAAAACTTAATAAAATGATTTCTAAATAAAATGTCATATTAGTTATTTTATAGAAACATTTTGAGAAGTGTCACGTAAACTCATCTATTTATAGGACACCTATGTTCATATGACACTATTTCAAGTCGTGTCGTATAAAATAACCAATACGACAATTTATTTTAAGAGTGTCATAGAATTTGTTAAGACGCCCAAAATCATCCAATAAACATATTGTAACTCTTTTAGATAAGACATTTTTTTTGGTTCGTCCTATAAAGTATCATATTAGGACGCTTAGACATTTTAGGTATCCTATAAAATCTAATGTTGTTGTAACGAAATGCTATAACTAAGCATTTTCTTTCCACTAAAGTACAGCATAAAATGACGGGGTATTTAGATTGATGGATTCGTCAACCAAATATCTATTAATATCATTCATATTCTTCGATATATCAATTTCTTGTTTTTGCAAAAAGGATTTCAATAATTCTCTTAGGGTGCGTTTGGTTTGCGGGATTGGAATGGAATTGGGGGGATTTGGATTTGAAATCCATTCCAATCCAGTGTTTGGTTTGCCAAATTGGAGGGATTTGGAATCCTGGGATTTCATTAAAATCCCATGAACATGGGATTTGGAAATCCTTTGCAAAGGGGTGGGATTTGGAAATCCAATCCTACGAGATTCCTAATCGCTTCCTCCCGCTTCCTT